AACTGGCAATTATAGAGCCAAATACCACTCCAGCAAGGGGCAGAAACAGCATGCATGATGTGAACAAATTATGAAATTATGGCATCTGTGATACCCAAAAAATAGCATCTGGAAACCAAAAATAGCAAGTAATCAGGGCTGGCTTTATCCACATAAGCCTTGTGTGGTGACTAACCCTAACATTTCATACATAGTTAATTGTAATTATATGTTTATACCTCTAAACATTGTCAAAATTACAATTTTTTTTTAGGGTGTAGACTTTTCTGTTATTTGCCATTGTCTCTTATTTGATATATTTAATTGTAATATTTCTATCTTTAATGTAATAGGCCTATGTATGTAATATTTAATATGTGAAACTGAATTTTTATGTAATTTTATGTACCGTATTTTTACATTTATTTTTTATATCATTTTGTATATTTCCTGTTTTTTTTTTTCGCGGTTCCGACGGCCCTGCCACCAGAAGGACCCCACTGGAAATAATCCTTCTTCTAGACTTTCGTGGGCTATCCTTTACACCGAATAAATCCAATCTAATCCCATCATTTGAATATTTAGAGTTGCTACAGTAGTGGCAGGTGACAGATTTAATACTAGAATTAGAGGAAAAATCTAATGGTGGAATGGGCTATGATGTTTATGAATTAAAAGACATGACATGAAATTGAAACACTAAAAAGAGGACATAACTAAGACATAGGTATCGAAGTAGAGTTTCCAATAAGATGTGAACAAAATAACCGAAATTTGGGAAGATATGTATGTATATTATAAAATATACAGTATGTTATCAGAATGTATGAAGATATTTTAAGTCAAGAAAGAAAACCATTGTACAATGTTTCATATAAATTAAAAACAGATGGCTTGATGCAAAATGAAAGAAAAATGGGAAGATATGTTGATCAAATCTTAAGTCCCTAAACTAATGTTTAGTCTCAGTCTATATAGTGATTGTTACTATAGTGAGGACACTGTATTTTTCTATACCACTGTTTCATAATTTGTTTAATCATAAATGTATGTGGAATTATTTTGAGATGTATTATAACTGAATTTTATCTTATGATATTAATAACATTATTACATTTGAATTTTTCATTATACATTAAAGTGTGCGTAGAGATGGTTGTTATGGTAATGACGTTTTGTTCTACAAACCACTGCATAAATTTCCAAAATTATTTTATATGGAAATTAAAAACCATATTGAGATGCAATACATGAACTTATATTTGAAATTGATTATTAATGTTCTCCTATGATATTTAAGTTTTATATATTTTAGTGGTAATGATTCACTGTTGGTCTGATAAAATGAAATAAATATTAATAAACATTTAATAAACATTTTTCATTAAACTTACAAGTTTTCATTAAATTTGCTAGCAATGGTTGCTATGGTGATTACCTATTTTTAACATTATTATCTACTCACGAAACCTTTAAATATATTAATAAATTTCAGGTTTTCATTTTAATAATTTACCAAAAAATAGGATATTTCAATTAGCAACCGTTACTATGGTGATGACCTTGCTTTCATACTATATTGTGTTATCTTAGGATATTTAATAAACATTTTTTCATAAATCCTATACTAATTTATTATACTTTAGGTCTTCATTATATAATTATTTTATGAAAAAATAAGAAATTCAAATTTGCATAGCAACAGTAATTTAAAGCGGAAAAATGGCGGCCATTTTGAATGCGTAATTTGGAGTTGTTCCCCCAAAGGGATTTTGGGTAATTTTGAGTTCTGAACTTCTCAAGACCTATATTTTCAGAAAATATCAAAATTAGCCGGTAGTACTTCCATTGCCACCTCGACGATTTTTAGAGGGCTTTTTGGCCATAATCTGCTCGCCTACAAGCCCTAGAGTAGGCCTAGGCTAGGAAGACCTGGCTATGAGCAAACAAGGTGAACTGAAAAGGCAAGGCAATGCTGAAAACATTCATCATAATGTTCACACTATACTAAACAATTACTTCTTAGACTTTAACTTACTAGTGATCTTGAATATACAGTAATTGGTTATTAATTATGCCATGATTACTTACAATGCTGCTATGCTAGGCAGTAGAATTCATATTTCCATGTACTAATTCAAGCAAGATTTCATTTACTTTCTTATTTTATGGGTGGTGTTGAATTCTGGAAATAGACAGAACCTTCACATGCTATATTTTTAAAAAAGATCACTTCTCTATTCAAAAGCTGAAATATAACTTTTTGTTTTTACATTACTCTGTATCTTTTATTGTATTATTTATTTAGCCTGGGTTTTTAAGCAATTTTTCACCATTTTTAATAATTGTAATTTTTACTTGATATACCGGTATTTGAAAATCTAATTTTGAATGAGGATTTGCAATTTATTTACTTGTATTTCTCAGGATATGTCCATGTGCAATATGGCATGTGCATGAAAAAGAAGGCAGTACACTCTTCGGAACAGTAGAGGATTGTCTCCTTGTGTAATTCACAATCAGAGGACCCCAATGAAAACAAGTTTTCACATCAAAGTATTCTATCCTATTTCATCTTATTCTTATTTTAATTTATTTTATATTAAGTTTTTATTAGAGCTGCCTATTAGATATAAGTTATTAATTGGGAATAAACATAGCAGCACTTATACGAAACAATTGATTTCTCATGAAATAAATAAAACTAATACATTCTAACCAATCAGACATGCCTATCTGCAACACATGATACAATTTTAACAACAATAATTTATAAGCATCACTTTCAAATATGTGTTTCTTTTAAATAAGTGCAATTAAAGTCAGTCTCTGGAGGGAAAAATTGTCCTAAAACTGATTTTTATAAGACACAAAAAAGCATATTTGATAAAAAACAAATTTTTTAAATAATTAAAAACTGAGGGGGGGGGGGGGGAGAAAGGGGGGTAACCAGCCTTTTCTCCCACTTTTTAAAATCCAAACATCTGTACCACATTAACAGTTTCTGATTTTTTTGCCAAACATCCTTTTTGTCTCATAATAAAATCAGTTGTACAACATATCTAAAAATGTTTTCCTTTGGAGCCAACTTTAATCCTCTAAAAACTGTATATGCACAAAGGCACCTGATTGCTTAATTATGGTAAAGCATAAATTAATACCAACTTAAATAAACAGAACTCACTTGGATCAGCACCCATAACCCCAGCAGCAAATATATCTGCTCCCCTCATGACGGCTGTTGCACACACTAGATCAACAATGATCTCCTTACACACCGGTGACAAGGCAACATTTCCACAACTACTTGGTATAAGAAGAACATCAGGAATAAGGGGATGCTCATTGACTACAGGTGTTGAATAACTTTTATTCTTATATTGCTGGGGAAATGAATATATAAAAATAAACATGGTTTGAAAGTTGTAGAGTGTATAATGTAAGATTTTTACATACTGACAACAAAAAATAATATTTTAATTGACTATATATTACAACTGTTAGTGTTTATGCTTGCTTTTTTTTAAATCTGATTTTTATTTATGACCTTTGCCTTTTGATTATTCTTATCAATCTGTAGTTTACAACTTTACCTGTTTAAACTGTGTATTTGTTTGTGTAGTGTAAGTTAAGAGGAAAGAGTACAGAATGATTCATTTAGGTTAACTGACTATTATCTTTCCTGGCAAATGATATATCTTGAATTATTACTAACAATTATTATTATTATTATTATTTGACCAATATGTCTTTTATTTTTTGTGATTAAACATTTTAATGCATTTGTATTGTTCTTATTTTCCTGTCCATCTGTTCTAGTTTTTTTTTTGTTTTTCTATTTCTGATTGAGATTTCTTGTCTTGTTTTGTAGTTTAGTTCCTTAATGCTGTTTTAATGTTTTTATGTCCTCTTTCATTAATTATTAGTTAAGATTACTACAGTACACTATTGTATATAATCTATTTTCTTTTTACTGTAGTTAAATAATTTTTTGTATATATTTTACCCTTCTGTATTGCGATTTAATTAATGTATTATGTAAATATCATGCAATTCAGCTGATGCTGCAATTTGATTATAATAATAAAATTGAATTGAAATTATTGATCAAAAATAATTAACCTACTGATTAGCAAGATTATTCCATTTAAACACTCGGAATAATGAACAAGTCATAATCTCAGTGAGCTTGAATAATTACGAACATAATGTGTTGGTGGCGCCAAAATTTCCCCGACAAAAGAAGTGTGGTACCTGACAACAAATCTTAAGAAAAAAAGGAATTCTAGATGCCAGGAAATGGTATAAAAATGGCTTTTTCTTGACAGGGTTCCTGGCACTGCCACTAGGGCACAGGTAGGCAAAGTGCGGTCCGCGGGCAGAATACGGCACAACATTGAATTTTTTTTGTGGCTCACGAAAATGAATAAAAAAAAACTAGTTATGGCCCACCAACCACCTTTGGCTAGAAAACACTTCGTTATTTTTACAACCCAAAACCGATCATCTGTAAAAAGCAATATTAAAACTGAGAATAAATTGGTATAAAAGCAATGCATGAAGGTTTTTGGAAGTGCACTGGAAACATCAAAATTTGGGTACAGCCCTCAGTGTTAAATCAAAAATTCAGTTTGGCCCCACAACTGATTTTTATGACCACCCCTGCTCAACAGTAATGATGAGGAAGATTATGAAGACAATAATTATGATCATTGGCGGATCCAGGGGTGGTTCTAGGGGTTCGGACGAACACCTCCCTCCCCCGTGAAGAAACGTAACAAAATATTATTGGGTCCTGGCTTACAAAAGGCATGCTATCCTCATAGTTACCAACCCTCTCGCTATCAAAAGCCAAAAGAACAGAAGCTTGTTATTTTTAATGTATTTAATCTTGAATTTTCTAATGTTTCTTAATTCATTTTAAAAAATTATTTTAAATACAAAAGAATTTGTTTTTGTATTAATTCAACTTCATCCAAAAAGAAGTTTCTGTAATATGGGAGAAATTTTTTTTTTGTCCTTGTTTTCAAAATGTCTATATACTTTTAAATTTTCATTTTTAATTTTAAAAGATCATGCGTGTGAACATGGCTCCTATTGTATAGAAAATGAATGTGCATGTTAGGTTTGTACGCAAGCTTGTCTTTGAGTCGGGTTATCTGAAATCTAAAAAAAATAATCTGCTATCAAAAAACGCCAAAGATTTAGTTAGTTCTAGCTATATCTGGAAAAGCCTGGTTAAGATTTTAAAATTTAGTAGACTCAAAATCGAGGTGGTTTGAGGCTTTACTTTACAGAATATAGCACTATTACGGTGGCTACTTGCTAATTTTCCAACAGAAAAAACAGATTTTTTTCTACCTAGAGAGTTATTCCCCAGGCTATTTCCCCCCATTTTGCACGATGCATTGTTCCTCCTAGTTTTCCTAGTGATTTTTTTCCATCAGGTTATTTTCATTATACTTTACAAGAGAACATTTTTTTTTTTTAAATTTGTGTTTTCTCTATATCAATTAATTATTGTCTAGTCGTTGTAAGGTTACACTAAAAAGGTGTGCCGATGATACAAAAGCGTTATTCAATCAATTGACTAATTAACTATTGATGCATTCGCAATACAGTATTGATGAAGCCTAAATACACATTGTAGATACGTTTTGAAAGTTTAAATCTGGTTTTACATAAGAAATAGAGGAAAGAAAACAGGATATCTTTATAACATGTTTCCTCTTTTGGAATTTTTATATCACACCTATTTTCTAGTCGTTCTATATACCCATATTTCTCTGCATCCACAAAAAACACTCCGCCAAGTAGCGGAAGTAAATATTTCTGTACTTCTACAGTACTTTTGAGGTCAATGCTCATTAGTGATTCTCTTCTATGATACGCCTACTTTTATTCAAATTATGTGTTACGGTTGATGGTAGCAAATACGCTATATCATTAAATATATTTCATTTAATAAATGTTATTTAATTTGTTTATCTATCAGAAAATTAGGTCAATTTATGTTTTATAAAGTATGTATATTATATATATTTTTAATGTTTATGTTACTAACATTTATTATACAACGAATGCAATATCTTATTGTTCTAACCAACTAGAATGTGAACAGAATATTGATAATTGTGTACGTATTCTTTGCTTAAAGTTACAGAACTTGTTACAATATATTGTAACAAAAAGTAGAATTTGAAATTACCAAACACATAACGACTTGCTTAATTACTGGTACTCAGATATTATCTTTTGGCCTGTGAGCCCAACTCAAAATAAATGTTGGCCCTTATTTAAACAAATTAATTAAGAATCAGGGGTGTAGGAGTATAACAGGAGGGGTAGAAAGAGTGTCGAATGTTAGGAAAGGTTCACCATCGCAGATTATTCATTTTTGTTTGAGTAATGAATGTTTGTGTACATAGTTCGGGTGCTCAAATTAAACATACATTGAAACTCGAATTGTACATGGCTTTATTAAAAATATTTTTGTTTATGTACCTGATATTGTCAATAAACACTCCTTAAAAACAGCTTAAAAATACTAAGATCATCAGAACGCCCAGGGGGTATCCACCCAGAACCCCCACCGGGGGCCCCGACCCTGGACCCCGACGGGGGCTCTGCTGGCCGCCGGTCCGCGTTTCAAATCACGTATTTCAATTATTTCAGGTTGGTAACTATGTAACCTACCTAGGCATAGGTTGGCAGATTGGACAAAATAGGCTTAGAACAACTAGCATTCAAGTAAAAACAGTTTTGGCTCGACGTCGTAATAATTTATGTACGAAAGTGTGTTCTTCAGGCCTATCAGTTCATCGATCTATGGAAGAAAGACTACGTATCCAACTACTCAATAATGTTGATTTCCGGCCATCTAGGAATCAAAATTTTCCCGGACCCCCCTTTCATTTTTGGGTTTATGGGAAAATGAACCCCCTCTTTCGAATTCTGGATCCGCCCTGATGATAACAATAATATTAATAACAATAATATATACAGTATTAGAAGAATACATCAGTTGGCTCACCTCCTTTAGTATATGCGCTAATAAATCTTTTACTTCGGAGACAGAAAAGTGAAGAGTATTTACGCGAACTACAGTCACAGATGGGGGGCACTGTAAGTTCGACAGCAAGTTTTCAAACCTTTGCTTGCATTCCAACTCTCCATAAAGCTTGATAACCTTCAAATAAGACAAAAACACTGTCAACGCATTTATCAATCAAACAATATCAATCTATGTCTTTTCTTTAACAATATGTATTGATACTTATCACAGATGTAAAACAAAAAGGTTAACTAATGATAAACAATGGTTTTACCTTATTATTACAAAAATCGTTCTGCAGATGTTGTTGGACTTCTGGTTTAAAGAGCATCAATGATCCTGGCAACATGTTCAAAGCTGCTGAAAAAGCTTTTCTACATCCAAACTTTGTCAACAAACTCAACATAACATGATTATATCTACAAGGAGATTGGAATTTCCAGTAAAAAGTTCTCTATTAAATACTCTTTGTTTTACAATAAATCACATGATTGTAATTTTAGTAGAGATAACACCTCTACTGGTGGTAATAATTAAAGCAGATTATAAAAAAACATACGTGTCCCAACCAGGAATCGAACAAAAGGACTTCATGATGACCATTCAGTTTAGGTATCACCTAACCTGGGGCCAAGTGGTACACCTTTTTCGGATTTTCAGAAAAGGAGCAATATGTTAAGATTTTTCTCAGTAAATCTTATAAATTATACCTTTCTGCATAAAATATTGCATATAAAATAGGCCCAAACTTGCAAAATTGTCAAAACTAGTCTTTAAAATAAGGCCTGTACGTAGAGTGCACCAAACAGTGGTGGCTCAAGACATGAATACAGATCATTTCGGTCACGCTTCGTTTCGGTCGCGCTTCATTTCGGTCGCGGTTTGTTTTCAACAAATATATGGAACGCCAATGGAATTTCGAAACGCTAAGTTTAATATAAATAGGCCTAATTATCATTGCAAGTTCGTTTATCATACTTTTTTTATTTATGTTTTGTTGTATTTCTAATAAGTAACAACAGGCTACTTAAAAGCAAATAAAATTAATACTATTGTTACTAAACTATCAATTAATATTATCGGACGGTTTTTATTTTCGTTTTGTTATGAATCCTACGCTTTCTACTACATAACAAATACAGCAAATAAAATAAATACTAAAATATGATATGATGTTATATATTATTATTAATATTATTATTATATTATTATTTTTATTTATTTACATTGTATCTGGAAAAACCTGCCAATTTGTCATTTAAATTATTGTAACATTAGTTTATTAACAATTATTTTTAATAGTATTAAAGTTTGTTATTGTTTTTATTTTCGTTTTGTTATGAATCCTTCGCTTTCTACTACATAACAAATACATCAAATGAAATAAATACTAAAATATGATATGATGTTATATATTATTATTATATTATTATTTTTTTAAATTTACATTGTATCTGGAAAAACCAGCCTATTTGTTATTTAAATTACTGTAACATTAGTTTATTAACAATTATTTTTATTAGTATTAAAGTTTGTTATTGTTACTATATTACTGTATAACTTGGTTCAGATGTTACGAAGTCGACCGAGTTTGAGATACGTTTTTTTGGTTCTTGCTATATATATATTGATATAATTTTTATTAATGCTTGAATCAAATAAAAATCTATGGAATAAGTATAGTCAATAGATTAGTTTCGTATACGTTTTTTTTTTTCTTGTCTGTTACGTTTC